CTTTTTAGTCGTTGGGAGCGGTTGTGTGTTGCCACTGCTTTAATTTGGTAGCGGCTCACACCTCCCCGGCACGAGGCGAGCGGGGGAGCAGGCTGCGAGCGCCAGGGACCCGAACCCTTGAGCGCCTCGTGCAATGGAGATGACCCCTCGCCGGGGGGCTCCACGGCCTTGCCATCCCCTCCTTGCCATCCCCCGCGTGTGCGGGGCCGGTGGAGCACGCCCCTCACCCAGGCAGGGAGCCCCCGTCCCCACGGCTCGCAGCAGGGCAAAGGCAGCGGTTACGGAAAGGGAGCAAGCTGGACTTGGTTTGGTTTGTCTGGTCAAATAGGAGGTGGGGCAGGTGCCACAAGAGGAGGCAGCACAAATAAAAGATCTCATGCAGAAAAGGAGGAAATGCTATTTCTGAGCTGAAAAGCTGCAGTGGAGTGGGGCACCGAGAGGCAGGTGTTATGCAAGAGCTGCGGTGCAGTTGCAAGGTAGAGATGACAGAGAACAAGTCGACTGTTATGCTGTTAGGATCTCTGAGTTTTAGCATCAGCATTTTGGGCAGGGGTGTCACGGCTTTGCTAAGAGAGAAATCATCACTTCAGGAGGAGGGATTGTTTTAAAATAGCACATTTGCCCTGATGCAAAGGTTGTAGGCACTTTGCATAAGAGAAGCTTACTTTACTCTTTTTTTTTGGGGGGGGGAGGGGAGGAGAGGATACAGATTAAGCAGATTCCCAAGAACTTCAGCTGAACCAGTAAGCTCAGATCAGGCCTCAGAAATCACCTCCTCTTCCTGCTGCTAATAAAAGTGCAGAGATCTGTGCTTATGAAAGGGATGAGAAAGGAACTGAGGTGTGGTATGACATCTGGCTGGCTTTTGTGGATAGTTCAGGGATGGGTCCTCCCAGCTCCTCTTGTGCTGCAGGGCTGGATGCCACAGGACAGATACTGCGACTCCTTAATTCCCCCTTGCCATCCTCAATTAATACAGGCTCGACTGAAAGTATTCAAACCAGCTCAACTCTTCTGTGCAAGCCGACCTCAGATTGCACTTGGATATGCAAAATCATTGGGCACAGGAGATAACAATCACTCCAAACTCTGCCTTCCAGACTGAGCTCTCCTCCAGTGGCACAAAAGCGGGAATCTTCCCTAACTCTGCTCTGGGCGTAGGGCCACACCTCCGGAGCTGGGTCTCCTCCCAGACAGGCTCCCTCTCTCATCATAGCCCCTTGCCTACAGGACATGAACTGTCCGTCTCCTTGCAGCCACTGAGAATTTCACTCTTCCATAGGAAAAGGATAAAAATAGCATCTCCAGCTCCATCAGCATGTAGGCATTTGGTCCTCCCGCTAAGGAACTCCAGGAGGGCTGGAAAAAGCTCACTTTTGCATTAATGCTTACTGTTTATACAGTTCTTTTACGTTCAAAGTCACAATTCTTTTTATGCAAGATCCAGGCTTGTCTTTGCTATAGGAAGGACACAAGACTAAAACTGAGGAAGAGAATAAAGACTAAATGCAAGAAGGACCTCACAGAAAATCATAATCATTTAGAAGTGCTAATGAATCCCTGAAGGCCTAGCAACGTGGAAGGCACTTTAACTTCAGATTACATCCATTAGGGAAACATTATGGACATCATAATGGAACTGAGCATATGAAGCTACGATTTATGGGAGATGCCTGCATCTGATTCATGGAAGCTAATCTGCCGTCCAACAATAACCTAAAGAATTTCCCAAGCATTGCACTGAAGTAGGCCCCTAGGATCTCATTACTATAGCCCATTTATGAACTTATGTCATCTCGCAGTGAAGTGCATCAGAGGCCGAGGTTCTCAGGGCTTCTAGGATTCTTCCCTTTCCTAGCTTCTGAAGTGACTGTCTTCTCAGCATTTTCAGATGTGAAAACAGTCATAATATCCCGCCAAAAAAGAACAGACAAACCTCTTCTGGCTCAGTTAATGAGATGACATGAGCAATTAAGCTACAGAGGCAGGTTTACAGCAAAACAGGATGACAAACACCCTCTCCCCTGTCTTCCAAGATACAGCTAGGCTGTTGCATTTCACCCAAAATGGGGCAGCTTACCAGGAAGAAGCAGGACATCGAGGGAGTCATCCAAATGGTATTCAGACCCCTTTATGCAGTTAGCACTGGCTCAAAGGCTGTACGTGCGGTTACACAGCCAGACTTTCCAGGAAGTTCACCCAGGCTGGCGGTTCTGCACTGCACTATTGCAGCGGCCCATGCCCTTTTCTATCCTGCTCCTGGCACTCATTGAAAAACTGCAGCAACAGGAGCATTATCCATGAAAATCTGACAGCAGAAAGACAAAGCAATGCATAGACTAGATAGTGAAAGAATCACAGCAGCACTGGCTGGAGGCATCCCCTCAGCGCCACGCTGTGCAACACAGCCTGCTGCTCCTGCAGACAGTCACGACACCTCCTCCTCCTCCCTCAGGTCTGAGTCTGCCAGCCCCAGGTGCCTCGTGCTGCCTGGGACGCAGGACAACCGTCCCTATTTCAGCTCCCACCACGCAGCTATGAGACATCCCTGGTGCAACCACTAGCTGCAACAACAACCAGCGCTACTTCCTTTCACCTGGCCTGGCAAAGGAGTTTCCAGAATTCGCCCTCCCAACGTCTATCTGGTGACTGACACATGAGACAGAGATGGTGTAGGAAGAGCCCAACAACTAACGCCTGCTAATTCCAGACATTGGCCTTAATGAAATAATTAACCTGTTGAAAGGCAGGCTGGAAACAACAAGGTTAAATTTCCTCATCTCGCCCTATAAAAAAGACACCGTCAGAGGAACAAGCTCTAATGAACCAAGGATCCCAAATCCTCCCCACTCATTTGCTAGCAGCTCCTTAAGGCACAGATCCAAGGCGGAGGTCAATGCATTCAGCATGGACAAATCTCCCCACGGGGGCTCTGTGCTGAGCACCCAAAAACGCGGGACGCCCCGGCAGGAGCGGGCCTTGCTGCCCTCAGTTTTTCCCCCCTGGTTGCAAGCGCTACCGTGCGGAAGCGCAAGGCACCGCCGCAGACCCCAGCACGGCGGGAGGCCCCTCGCCGTCGGATGAGGCATCGCTGCTCCCAGCTGCTGCGAGAGGAGTTTCTGCCCCACCGCGGGAGCGGCGCACCAAACCCACCAGGGCTTTTCCTTCCCAGGGCCGAGCCCCCGGGGGAGGTCGCCGGCTGCCCGCCC